GAACCTTACTATGAAGACTCTGGGGTCGTCTACATCCGCCGCGGGTATAGAGTTGAGGGCTTAGGGTCCAACCCTGAACCCCAAGCGGTATATAGGTGGGTCGCAAACCTCATTGCAGATCTGATCTCATTGCGGAGGATCCGAAACTGCATGAGGGCACGTAGTACGTATGGTTATAGGTAAGGTGAAATGTGTTTTGTGCAAGTATAAACATGTATATATATATATATGTATATACAAATACACATACATTCGCACATATATATATATATATATATATATATGCTCACCCCCCCCCCGTTGACAGACCGCGGGTCTAAAAAACACCGTGCACGACGATATTCTATGAAGCAAAACCTTTACATGAGGTACATAGTATAGCACCAGACGTGCGGCACATGAGTTACGTAACAGTCTTGTGGTAGTATCGGTATTAGGGTGAGTATTATTATTAATATTAGTACTATTGTTTGCTGTAAGTATACGTATCAATATTGCCAACTATAAATTAGTGTTAGTGCTCATGTTCGTGTTAGAGTTAGCGCTAGTGCCAGTGTCAATGTCAGTAATACAGCACCACTGCTACGAGTAGTATCAGTATCAGTCTTAATGCTGGGTTTAACAGCAGCTTATATTCGCAGAAGTGCTAGTATTAGTATCAATATTAGAACTAGTTAGTTTGGATATGTTAGTATATTGATAGTCTCGTATATTAGCAGATGAGTATATCAGTACATCAATGTATTCGAACAGTAAAATATTTGCATACTTGTATACTAGTATATTTTACATGTTAGTACAACTGGTGCATGAATACACTACTATACTGCTGTACTAGCTTACTAGTATATTGACATACCAGTATATTCGAACGTTAGCATATTAGTGTACGAGTATGTGTACTATATGACTGTTTTATCTAATCATTTATAAGTATATCAGTATGTTGGCATATTGGTATACGAACTTGTCATGTCGGTATTCTTGCATAGTGCAGTAGCCGTATATGAGTACAGTCACATATTCGTGTAGTATACTCATACAACAACGAGAGGTATATTGATACATTGGTATATGGGCATATGCCTATGCCAAAGCATTAATACATGAATGCACTGACGTATATATCTGTATCTTAAGATAGTGGTATGTATTTTATGTACATTAGTATATGCAGGTGTCTATTAGTAATGATATTAGTCATCATATCAATATGAATATACTATTGGTGTTCGTAGCAGTATTATTAATGTCAATATTATTAGAAATAGGACTATTTATACTCGTAATAGCCATAATATGAGTGTTCATGCTGGTAATACTAGTGGCATTCTTGAATATTCAGCAGATTATCAAAGTCCGTACTAGTGTTGGTGATAGCATCACTGTTAACGCACAAGAGTTTACGTACTCGTATTCGTAGGAGTATCAATAGCTATGTAAATATTGATGTTAGTATAAATTTTGTGTGAAGTATTAGCAGTAGTGTTAGCTGTATTTTATGTACATTAGTATAAGCAGGTGTCCATTAGTAATGATATTAGTTTTCATATCAATATGAATATACTATTGGTATTCGTAGCAGTATTAATGTCAATATTATTAGAAATAGGACTATTTATACTCGTAATAGCCATAATATGGGTGTTCATGCTGGTAATACTAGTGGCATTCTTGAATATTCAGCAGATTATCAAAGTCCGTATTAGTGTTGGTGATAGCACTACTGTTAACGCACAAGAGTTTACGTATTCGTATTCGTAGGAGTATCAATAGCTATGTAAATATTGATGTTAGTATAAATTTTGTGTTAAGTATTAGCAGTAGTGTTAGCGTTAGTACTATAATATTATTGATGATATACATTCGAAAGAATGTTTGTAGTATTATTACTCTTGATCACGTGAAATTCTAACAGTTGAATACATGAGTGAGTTAAAGGATTTGTATTTTAACATGGTGGTATGCATGTTTATGTACATTAGTACATACAGGTGTGTGTTAGTATTGGTATTAATATACATTATTATCAATATGAATATGGTTATTGATATGCGTAGGAGTAATAAGAGCAATACTAATCAATCTTAGTATTTGTGTTATGCATATTCGTACTAAGCTTTATAGAAGTGTAATATTAGTAGTAATGCTGGTATTAGCTTGAGCATTCAACAAATGATCACTGTCAGTATTTCCAATGGCAATACTATATGTAGGAGTATCAATACATATATGTATATACAGATAGACAGGTAGATTGAGAGATATTCGTTTAAATATGGGCATGAGTATTGACAGCCCTTGCCTTTGCAAGTAAGTCGTGCATGGTCTGTCATCGGATGGGTCACAATCAGCCCTCCTGAGAATCAATTCCAAGGTCCAGAGATTCCAAAATTTCCAAAAGTTCCAAAACTTCCAAAATTTCCGGAATTTCCAAAATTTCCAAAATTTCCAAAATTTCCAAAATTTCCAAAATTTCCGAAATTTCCAAAATTTCCAAAATTTCCAAAAAGTCCGCCCTTATGTTTTGGAAAAATCCTGTCCACTAGGTCGGGCCGTTTTGGAAATTTTGGAAATTTTGGAAATTTTGGAAATTTTGGAAATTTCGAAATTTTGGAAATTTTGGAAATTTTGGAAATTTTGGAAATCCGGAAAGTTAAGGGAGAGAATTTTGGAAATTTTGGAAATTTTGGAATTGAGTTTTTGAAAGCTGAGTACCCCCTCCCCCGATCACAGACCATGCACTACGACTGAGTTGAAAGGGCATGGTCTGTCAACGAGTCTTTTGGTGGTTCCACAGATACGTTCGGAGGGCTCAAACTCGATACCCCGGAAAAAGCACGAACACACCGGTGGGAGCGATGTTTTGAAGGGGATGGTCTGTCAACGGGGGGGGGGTGACCATATATATATATATATATATATATATATATATATATTTATACACACACTCGCACACCCACTGAAGGCATGCATGTCCCGACTTACGGCGCCCCGTGAACGGCTTATTGTCTGTTGCAGGCTCTGAGTGCTTCAAAAGAGGCCATTAGCATCTTCCGTGAGATCGGAGACCAGGCCAGATCCTTGCCAAGCACGATCTTGCCTGTAATGTATGGGTCTGAATAGTTTGGGATTGTTCCCCCTCATAGTCTCTACATTAGACTCTATATTTAATGTTGTAGAAGATCCAGACGGTCCAAAACCCGATTCTAATCAGCAAGATCCCTAGATCAGGCTGAGGGCAACTGCAAGGTTGATTCCTGAACCAGCCTGCTCGGTCGTCTTCTCACATCTTGCCTGCAATGACAAGTATGTATGTGGCTGGCCCTCGAGCCTAGTAACCTGCGGACACTGTGCCAACCGTTCCTGTGGTCGCGCCATGCACACCTTCCAACTTAGAGTAGGGTTTTTGGGCCCATTAGTCTTCCTTACAATAAGGAACCCCTACGATAGTAACAATAGCATGGGTAATTATTAGGCCCCTATAGTACCTTCCAACTTCAAGACGCTTTTTGAGTTTGGGCTCGGCACGATGCTACCTTCGCCTTTCCTTTGGTTAGTAGGGAATGGAAGAATGGTAGTAATAGTAGTTATACTTGTACCCCATGCCTCCATTCGCTACTAACCAAACGTAAGTTGAGCCTTTGTAGATTGCTCCGAGGTCGCCGAAGCAGGAGCCCGTCATGCAGCCGTGTCTGCCGGGTGCATACTTAAAAGATCATGGGGCTTATTAACTAGGGTTATAATTAGGGTGACTATACCTATAACCTTACTTACTAAGTCCCATGATCCTCCAAGTATCAGGGTTTAGGGTTCAGGGCGCCAGCAGCGGGCGAAGTGGAAAGCCTGTTGCAAAAAGGGCACAGCAGCCACCAACACCAGACCAGACGTGCGCAGTCGCGGGTGAAGTCTCTGCAAAACCCTCGTGGCACAACATTAGGAAGAAGTTCTTGAGCGGGTTTCTACCGCTGGCTGAGGCGTACATGGGCAGGAAGAAGCTGCCAGAGGTCGGGGCGGACAGCCGCATTCACATGCACACCACGACAACAGCAACACATCAACAGCGACAGACTACCACTACTACCACCAACAACAACACGACCACCACCCCCCACCGCTGCCGCTACGGCTACCCGCTACCGCTACTCGCTACTGCTATACCGCTACTGCTATACCGCTACTGCTACAACTACCACTACCACGACCACGACGGCTACTACCACTAGTACTCCAACTGCTACTGATACTCTACGACGACCCATGGCGGCGAGCGCAAAGGCTCCGACTGCTGCTGCTGCTCGTTCTTCTAGTAGTAGTAGTAGTAGTAGTAGTAGTAGTAGTAGTAGTAGTAGTAGTAGTAGTAGTAGTCGTAGTCGTAGTCGTAGTCGTAGTCGTAGTCGTAGTAGTAGTAGTAGTAGTAGTAGCAGTAGTAGTAGTAACAGGGACACTCGGCCGGGTACACTATTCGTACCCGTCCAAGGATGTCTGTTCGGTCTTGGGTTTCGGGCGAGCCTACTTTTTGCCACCAGTTCTGTTTACCTGATGGGCTGACGATGCAGTGATGCCGCGCTTCAATTCGTTCAAACACGTGTGATGGCATCTTTCTCGGCGACACAACATCTGAAACCACTTCCCGCTCCCCGTTTGGATTCTTCCTGTGTGAGCGAAACGTGGGTCAAACACCAAGGGGCTTCGGCTCTAAGCGCACCTTGCGCAGCTTCCAGGTTTGTCGGTAGAACCCTAAACCTCGCGGCCAACCCAAAAGGAACTAATATAGAAGCCTACATAATTGCTACTAGTATTATTCCTTGGTGTCAAGTTGGTGCTCCTGTGTACAAATAGTTCTGCACTACTGTAAAAGAAGTTCCGTGATCCTGTACGGCCGGCAGCAAATCCGGTCCCGTGCTATTGCATAGTGTAAGCACAACTTGTTTTAGCTGGCTGGTGCTGTTTTGTCTTCCAACGGGTTGGCCACGAGCTTTCCATGTGTCGATGTCTAGATGTTCATGATCAGTTGGCCGGCATGGGCGCGCTGCCTGTCCGTCATACTGGCCCTCTTCCCGCGTGCCTCACACATGGAGCGCTTGGGCATGGCTTCTCAGATGCAGATGTGCCGAGGACTACGCATCGCCTCTTGTTTATTGGCTCTATCATGTCGAAGTTGGAGCAGCAAATCGGAACGACCTGTGGTGTTAATGTTCTAGACGTGTCGGGCATTGCACTCTACCTTCTCCCTCATCAGCAGCCGCAGAGTACACCAATCACTAGCAATCGGGGAAGCTGAGATTCCGCCACAGAAACCATGCTTGAATTTTGCTAGGTACAGCCTGCCATTCTTGACGCAAGGCGGCTCGGGATGTGTCTAGAGTTTTGAGCTATCTTTGAAAAGGCTTGAGGCTGTGGAACTCGGGTGGATTGGGCTTGCTCTCTTCGGAGTACTTGAATTGATTCGTCTCCTGTCGCTGTATAGCATCTGGATGTGTGCAGAAACAATGGCATGCGTCGCCGCCACGATTCCATCTGTCAGCGAAAGACCCTCTAAGAAGAGTGGGCGCATGGCCTCCATCAGCGAGGGAGCCAGCCCGTGCAGGTGTGATCAAGGGCAGCGTCAGCTTAGCGGGCACTACGTGGTGCCAGAGGTTGGAACTCAGCACGATGTCTGAAGTCCTGTTGTTTCCTCGCCCTGCATGCCGAGTGTCCTGAGCAACGACTGTAGGGGGATGATGCCGAGTGCAGTCGTGCAGCGCGAAGCCCCAGCGGGATCGAGCAATCGGCTGCAGAGGTGACAATGGTGCATGACATTTCATAGTTGAGAAGGAGCTGCTTGCTGAGTTCCCCGCAGCCACTCGGGGAGAAACGGGTAGTGCGTTTGAGCAGGTCGGGCGGACTTTCGCGGGCGATTGCCACATCTTGGGATTGCCTGGCACCAGGCATCGGGTAATGGGCGAACTGATGAGTGCTAAAGTCGTTTCCCATACCAGCTTTGGGATTCGGGTGCTTAAGGCTTTCATGACCACATTGAGAAAGATGGACTCGGCGCGTTTGGAGACTTCCAAGGCGGGATTTTGAGATGTGCCCTTGTAAGACTTGCAGCTGCCTTCCATAACCTTGCATTTTAGGTCCTGCGCTAGTTGCACCATCGAGCGACAAAAACCTGAAATTCTGAGACCCGGGCTGGTGGGCAGGATTTCAGCAGGTCATCCCCTTGTGTTAAAAAGGGAATTCGGGTCAGTCTTTGGCTGAGGTTCCTAGCAGGATCGCACTCGGAGTTTCTTGCCAAGATCGTGTATTTGTATTCGAAAAGACGAGAAAGGAGGCGCAGTCTTCGGAAGACCGTTGGAAGATATAACTAGGAGGCCCAATGAGGCCCAGACATGCGAAGATTGCTCTCCTCCAAACACTGGCGGATACGGGGGTGGTACCGGCAGATCGAGGAGAAGCAGAAGAATGCTTTTCGACACGTACTTTTAGAAGCAAGGCCAAAGTGCTCTGCCCCAAGTGCTGGCGCATGCAGGAGCAAGCCCAAGGCGGATTCAGGAGCCATCAAAATGCATTCCCACGAGTATTGCTCCAGGAAGCCTACATAGAACACTGTCAAAACACCAGATACCAACAGTCAACCGTCCGGCATGCCATCCCTGAACGTCAGTACGACACTTTGGAAGATCGCTTGGTAGTGCATAGGCACTCCGCAGGGAGCCTTTTGTAGAACGGCCCCCCGATGATGACACCATTGTGGCCAGGATTGAGCTGAATGGACCGCTTACCTTCGAAAACGACGTCAAACTGTCAGGCAACTTGACGTCTCCAGGTCTCACTTTAGCAAATTTTCCTCGGTGTGTCGTTGCGGCTGGCTATGTGGCTTCTTCTTCTGCTGTGATACTGTTCTGTACCAGATGTGATCACTTTCAGATCCTCACGCCGGAATCGATTAGATGAAGGGCGGGGAAACACGAAATGCAGTCAGAAGTCTACGTGAGTGTCGTCGGGGTCATACACTTGACTTGTCTACTGCTTCGAAATGCTGGACTGCCCCGAGGATTACCGGCAATGGGGAGAGGTGGGAGCAGGTGCCATGGCGAGATCGCGTTGCCTGTGCTAGCCACCCTATCAGCCCTGGTCTTACCCCGAGAAGCCCCTGATTTGATGCACTCTGCCTGCAATACCCTTGGGTCTTCTGAAATCTCTATACTGTAGTGGTTGCCAGGCTCTAGGGTTGAGAGTGCCTTCCACAATGGCACGATACTTCCTGTTCCTCGTGCTTGTGGCAGAGAAAAGATGATATAATGCAGTATAGTCCTCGAGACGAGCCATGCGGGAGCCAAACATGCAGTAAATAGTATGACCTATTTTTCATATACGTAGAGGCTCATACCCTAAACCCTTTTTTTTGGATATCTACTATTCTATACTAAGGAGTGGTACCCTAAAAAAGCGGTAGGGTATGCGCCTCTAGGTAGTAATATTGATTGATGGCGCTCTAGAGTGTGAGTGTGGGAGCCGTGGCTAACTTAAGCCGTGGAGGCAACAGAGCCCTTATAGTAACATAGTAACCCTCTACTTATGGGAGCCTTCGAAGCCCTTGTAGTAAACCTTACTTTGATGGGCTGTGGGCATAGCTACTGATTTAGCGAGGTTGCCGCTGTTAGTACGTAAGTATACACTAACAATGGTGTAACCATGTTCTAAGTGCAGTGTAAAGGGTTATAACTGTTCTATATGAATAGATGAAATGCTAACTGTTAGAGTAAAATTAGGATCATGTTAATTTCATGTTAGTTTTAGCATAATTTTAGCAGCTTGTGTTTTTAATTTTTGATAAGGGAAATGTATGTATTTGAATCATGCTTCTTCCTGGCTTCATGCATGACATGCAGCCCGTCCGGGCTTTTGGCATGGCAGCCCTTGGGGCTTTGAACATGTATGTCATGCAGTGTTTTTCATGCAACCTGCATGCAGGTTTCCATGGTAATGCTTGTTGGCTAAGCAAATCTTGCATTCAGCCTCCATGGCTTCTTGTTGTTGTTTTCTTGTTCGTGCATGGTCTTGATTGCATGGATGTTGTGTGGACTATATAGAGTTTTCTGCCCGAGTTCCCTCCTGACTTCCAGCTTTGTTCCTGTGAATAATGGATTTCGTTGGATGGCATGCCTGTGCTACTCCCGGGTGCCAGAGATTATGCCGAGCTTCGAAGAATTATTGCTGCTCCAATTGTCGCAAGAACTATGGCAACCATTCTCGGAGATGTGAGGATGTTCAAGTGCATCGCAATAGCGAGCTGCCACCTGGCACGAACGTTCCTTGTCAAGGCTCGCCACAGTGCGACAGGATGACGACGAGTCCTCACCATTGGTGCTGTAGCTGGTGCAAGTCAGGGCTAGGGGTGCACAAGCCATCCTGTACGGTTCGGCAGAACCGCATGGCCTTGCAGAATCTTTCCCAGGGCCAGGGCCAGGGGCAAGGGATTGATTTGAACGGCATGGATTAGATGGGCATCGTGCGGGCAGTTTATGAAAAAGAAAACCAGGAGGGTCCTCGGTGCATAGCTTGATGTGCTTGGAATCAAGTGTGGCTGTGTATAGGTGCATCCAAAGCACCTATTTGCAGATCAGGAGCCCCCTTGCAAGGCGAAAAATTCAAAGGACCCCAGGCCCGGCCATGGAGGAGAAACTCGCCGCAGAGATCGCCCGAATCATGGACAACACGGAGGTCCAGCCCAACAGAAAGCTCGACAGGCTTGTCAACTTCTTGAAAGAATCGCAACTGGCCTACACCACCACCTTGAGGCCAGCAGAGCTACTGGTTCATCCTCACAATCGCGGAGGCAGCATGCTCAATCCGCTGGATGTCCATAGCAAAGGACAAAAGCTTTTGGATCTTGGTTTCAGACCTTCGCTGCTCACGGACAGCATCGCGATCGAACTTTCTCCCCTAGAAGACAAGCGGAACGAGCAAATCCGGGCGAACACGGACTTGAGTGAGAGGTCCAACGGGCTGTTGTCACCGGTCTTGGGGTCGGAAAGAGCCATGACGGTGAGCTCCTCCCACACCACTGCCTATTTAAAGGCATCCTTGATGAAATGCAAACGACCCAACTCGGGAGGCAGCCTCAGCCTGGAGGATGAGTGCATGCGAGATGCAGTGAATCAGGGGTGGCCCTGGCTCCTGATTTCTTGGCGGGCAGAGGCCATGGCCCCCAACCTCCCAGCCTTCGTCCAGATGGTTTTGAATTCGGTTCATTCGGTAGGCCTAGCCTGCCAAGAAATCGAAGCTGCACAGCAAGTTGCTTTGATGTGCACGTCTGGCTCCACGGTGAAGGATGCCGTGAACTCAGTCAAGGCATCCAAACCTGCATGCGAAGACTATATGGAGCATGTAGGAGTTTATGTCCAAAAATTTGGAGGCGGCAGCCCCTTTCCTTTGATTTCATTCTTGGCAAGTTTTGCCAAGGATTTGGCCCTTACTGTTGCAGTAGGAGAGGAAACTTTTAAGGCCATTACGGCTTGGGATCTGCAGGAGCCCTCGACTCAGTTCCCATTGCTGCGAGCCGCCCTCTTAGCTTGTCAGCTCACAAGCCCGAAAGTTGTCGACGGCACAGCCCGTCTGCTTGTCAAGCAGGATCTGGACCGCCTCAAAAGCGCCCAGCTCCGACAGGCCCTCCTTCAAGCTGAGCAGATTCTGGAGCACGGATACCAGGTGTATCGAGATGCAGGTGAAACCCCAGCAGTGCAGCGAGCACTCGGCCGGATGATGGTGCGACTTTCTTTGCTCCTCACTAAGAAGGAGAAGTATGGTCGTGAGAAGGTTATGTATGAGTCTCAGGAGAAGGTGGCCCAGCTCTTCGCTACCGAAGCTTTGAACACGAACCCATCGGGTGCTAGCTCTGCTGGCGGGAGCGAAGCGGATGAGAATCGGGAGGAGGACCGGCCCCTGAATCTCTTGGGTGGCATGAGTGTAGGGGAGCAAGCTTTGCTGCAGAACCCGCACTTGAAGAAGGATGGGAAGTACGTGCATGCGGACTACCCAGACAAGATCTTTGTTTTCGCTGGGCTCGAGAATGACGAGGCCAAGTTCGTGCACACCCCCTTGTTTGCCTCGCCCGACATCGTTATTATGACATCGCCAGAGCACTTCAAGAAGTGGAAGGTCACTCGCCTCCCAGTGCCGAGTGTGTTGGCTGCGGACGAATCCGTTAAGTTCACCTACGGTGGCAGTGCTGTCTTGAACGATGCGAAGATCTTGGCGGATGGGCAGCAGCAGCTTTTCCAGATCTTCGCAGACCAGAACACCGGCGATTCTTCATGCTTGCATTTCATCCACCCTCCGGCGGTGTACACCTCGGAGAGCTTTGCGAAGGAGAAGCTTCGCCTCATTCCTCTGGCGAACATGACGAGAGCCAAAGAAGGGCAGAAGCTCAGTCTATGGGTCGAATGGAATGGCAACAAGTACCAGTTGTCTCCTTTTCCGCAGTTGAAGGATTTCGGGGAGCAGCCCGACTGCAAAGAAAAATAGGATTTAGAGGCTTTCGCCTAAATCATAAAGCTATGCATGTCTTATAAGGCCGAAGAAGACTGATACCATCGTGCCCTTCTACTGGATCAAGACCACGTCCTCGGAGGAAGAGGTCAACATGGTTGTGCAGTGGAAAACCGTCGCCGGCATGAAATTGCCCATGCTCGTCAACAACAAGAAGGTGGCCAAGCACACGATGCTCATGCAAGCCTCGAAGGAGCTGCTGCAGAAGCAGGAGAAGGAGAAGGGTTCCTTGAAGAGGAAGGCTACCTGATCGATCTAGCACCATGCCACGTCGGCTGCAGGATTTTGATACACCTGGCATGCCACCAGGGTTTTTGCCGGCAGCTGCTGTGAAGGGTTGGTTGTCTCTGCAGAATAGATGTGTTTGTGCATCATGCAGCAACAGCCAGCCTGTTGCTTCGTTTTGGTTGTTGTCTGTAGGAAACATGTGTTTGTGCATCATGCAGCAACAGCCAGCCTGTTGCTTCGTGTTGGTTGTAGTTGTGATGCAGAATGCATGCTTGAAGCAAGCATGTTCGGTCATGCAGCTCCTCCGAGCTTTTGCATTTCTCGTGTTTTGCTGACTTGTTGCTTTGATCTAGCACAACTCAGTTGTTGGGTTCAAGCTGTTCTTTTGAGCTGAGCGCTTTTGTTGCTGCTGGAAGCACCATGGTGAGCATCGGCACTTGCACGACGATTACATGGCAAGCTCGTGAGGTCGTGGTGCCCAACAAACTGATCGTCGAGATTTCCGGTGTCAAGTACCTGAAGATCCAGCCCTCGAACAGGGTGCTGATGAAGTTACTCCTGGGTTCTAGGCAAGCAAGTCTGACTGCTTCTCCAGGTTTGCAAAAACTGAAAGAGGGCAGGGAGGAGGCAATCCAGAACTTCTTGAAAAGCGAGGGCAAGGGATCGGGGGCGGATGAACTCTTTCCGGAATCGAAGAAGAAAAAACAGAAAGTGCAGCCGAATGTTGAATATGTGATGGTGGACGGCATTCAGATCGGGGTTCAAGCCAAGCACAAGTCCACCATGGATTTGTTGATCCTGTTGGAGTCAGAGAGCTTGGAAATGGTTTTCGCCAAGATCACTGAGGACTCTTAGCAATGTAATAGCTGCATGAATGTGTCTGTTATTTTTGGTGCTAGGTAACTGCCAAGCTTCTTTGCAGGATGCGGATCCCGACGAGAGGCGGGTTTACCGGAGACGTAGAGCTGGACGGCAATGTTCCTCTGAAGAGAAGGAGGAGGATTCTCATTGAGCTGGAGGTGTCTCGCTGGTATACCATAGAAAAGGAAACAAAGTCCGTTTCCTTGTAGGGTTCGTGAGCAGGGTACATGTGCTAGAATGGATGGTGCTTGATGATGTATTGCTTTGTGTTTCTGCATGCAGTCCTCTCGAAGGGCTTTTCATGTTCCCTCAGACCTTGCATGTGATCTTGCATGCAGTCCTGCTTGACAGGGCTTCATGATGCATGTCGGTTTGCGAGCAAGAGACACTTGAATTGTGCAATGAGGAGCATGTCAATGATTCTGTGCACCCGTGCCGCCCCAAG